ACACACACACACACACACACACACACACACACACACACACACACACACACACGAAGAATAACATAGGTCCGCCATCATAAATAGTGCTTCAATCTAGGGCTGGGTATCGTCACTGATTTCTAGAATCGATTCAATTCGATTTGAATTGGGGAGATTTTGCCACAGACAGTCAGAAATATTATAGTTCTGATCACTTATCAGTACATATCGGTATTTTTATATCTATAAAAAGAAAGCTGACACTTGTGAGACTTTATCAAAGGTGTGACAGCAGATTCCTTTGTGTCAAAGTAACTGAGGATAAAACACAGAAAAACATGAAGGTGGTTTTCCTGGTCTGGGTTTTTATAGAAGATGACCTTAAAAATACTGTGCAGTCAAAAACGAAGTGAAGCAAAGTTACAGAGGTTTGATTAGAGACACAGCTAAGGATTTTGCAATTTTGCATAATTTTAAAAAGTTTACATTTGTTCAGTATTGAACAGCAGAAATTAGGCTTTCTTGTCAGAAGTAAGTAAAAAAACAAAAAACAGCAGCCGACACCGTAGACTGGTTATTAATAAGTAAGTGAATAATGCAAAAAAACAGAGATTTTTAGATGGGAAACTATTCCTGAGAGAGAGAGAGCTCTACATGAAGTGTGATTTTTATCGTGGTGGAAGCAAAACAGCAAAAGTAAGAGGAAATTCGTGACAATGTTTATGTGAAGCGAAATGTGAAGCGTAGTTTGGATCGTCTTTGGCTGCTGGTTCAGTCAATATTGTTTGGAGAGAGATAAAACCTGCAGCTTCAGAATCTAGCGCAAAAAGGTAAACACAAAGCGCCCGCCGACGCTTCAAAATCAGCGAAGCTGTCAGCCCCGGCGGTGTGTCGTCTCACCGATTCTGATGCGTCGGCAGGTTTGTGTTTAGCTCTTTGTGCAGAATCCGTGTACCTGCTCTCATTTACTGTTTTAGCTGTTTGGCGGTTGTAGAAATTTTGTGAGGTTTAAATAAAATAAATTTATATTTTAAAAACGATTCAGGATTTTAATGAATCTATATCACGTTATTCAAGCTAGAATCAATTCTAATCGATAAATCGATCATCAAAACCCACCCCTACTTCATTTCGCTGGGATCAGCTGCAGGTGTGACGGTGAGCACAGGTGCTTGGGCCAGGGGCGGGAGCCCGTAATGAGCGAGAGAGGTCAAAGAACAAACAAAACGTGTTGCCTACCACAGAGTCAGCCAGCGAGGCACGGGGACCATGACACAATGTCCATCATCTCTACCCCACAGTCATACACCATTCTTCATCAGCTGTCAAACACATGATCCAACCAAATCAGTCAAGCAGTTCGATTAGAAGTATAAATCAAACAAAATGAATCCAGAATGCATCATGTCTGAATTGTACTGTACACTGATCAGACATAACATTATGACCACCTGCCAAATATTGTGTTAGCCTAAAGAGCCCTCACCCATTGAGACATGGACTCCACTAGAGAGAGCCCTGAATATGTGCTTTGTTATCTGGCACCAAGATTTTAGCAACAGATCCTTTAAACCTTGTGAAGTCAGGCTTCCATGGATCAGACTTGTTTGTCTAGCACATCCCACAGATGATCGATCGGATTGAGATCTGTGAAATTTGGAGGCCAAGTCAAATTCATTGTTGTGCTCATCAAAGTATTCCTGAACCATTTTTGCTTTATGGCAGGGCACATTATCCTGCTGATAGAGTCCACAGTCATCAGGGAACACCGCTTCCATGAAATGGTGTGCACATAGTCAGCAAATGTTTAGACGGTGATATCTGTGGTGCCCATTGTTGATGCTTTTGAGGGTGGACAGGGGTCAGCACGAACACCCTGACTAGTCTGCGACTACGCAGTTTCAATACGTAACAATTCATTCAGCCTTCGTTTCCACATGCATCAGTGTGTCTTGGCTGCCAGTTCAACACCGTTCCTTCTTTGGACCACTTTTGATAGATACTGACCAGTGCAGACTGGGAACACCCCACAAGAACTGCAGATTTGGAGATGCTCTGTCCTGCCCTGGTGATATGCTCCGTTCTGTGTGCTTGTGTGATATAAAGCAACTAGATGTAGAAAAAAGTGCTTGTATGGATGTCTGTATAAAAGGATGAGTGAATGCAGCACGGTGGCATGTTGGTTAGCACTGTTGCCTTACAGCAAGAAGGTCCTGAGTTCAGTTCCACCATCAGTCTAGGGTCTTTCTTTGCATGTTCTGGATGGATGATTAAACATGTTGTATAATGCACTTTAGGTGCTCAAGGACAGTAAAAGAAAATGCTATATAGGAGCCAGGCTTCTTGCATAATTCTAACCCTTGCTAGATGAAAACTCCATCTACTTTTATATATTTAAATTCTTTTCATATTCAGATTTGTAGACATTGAATGTGAGAGTGAAAAGGGGTGAGGACAAAATAGAGTGACAAGAAAATAATTTAAAAAGAAAGAAATTTGCAAATGCAAATTCTAGCTCTTACTCTCCGACTCGTTGGACTATTTGCTGTGTCAATTCCCAGCTTTCATTATCAACATTTAATGTCTCTTCCAGCTGATGACTATAAAAATAAAGGCAATAAATGTCCCAAAATAATTTTAAAAAGAAAGAGAGAAGAAGCGTCATTTCCTAAGCTACCCTCCTTCTGCTAACTAGTCTGTCTGTACGTCTCTCCTGCACTGATTTAACATTAAACAGGAAAGGCTCTGAGCTGAGGGGTGGCAGTGCGCAGGGAGCAGATTCCTAACGCCTCACGGGGAAGTGAGGCGTTAGGAATCAGAGAGAGAGGGAGAGAAAGACATAGGGCGGGCCAGGGTTAGGTATCACATACCAGGGGCCCCAGACTCCAAATCAGCCCTGTCTAGACTCTCTGGCACCTGCATCTGCTTATTTACCACAGAGAGCCACCGGAGGCTTTGTCAGGGCCACAGCACCATGCCACAATCTGACCAACACAGCTACCTCCATTCCCTCCTCCATCTCTGTAAGCACCTCTCCTTTACTTCTGGCTTCCCTGCTCTGTAAAGCTCGCATCGTACCAAATGGTGACCCCATTAAAACAGAAGACGGGGAAAAGGGCAGGTCAGTGAGCATGCTAAGAAAGTGATCAAAGAGAGGGGTCTTATAAATACAACAAAGGTGAGAGGATAAAAAGGTGGAAAATAGGGCAAAACAGTTGGTCAGGGATCCATTTTTTACAAATGGAAGAACACGTATTCCCTGTATTGAATTGAAATTGTGTTTTGTGTGGGAAGATAAACAAGGAGGATTAAGTAGACAGACAAAACTGGAAGTGAATCTTTGGGAATAATACAAGGACTCTAATGTTCTCAAGTCACTTTTGTTTTCATTGTGCTGATCAAAAAAGCTTCATAATAGTTTCACGAGCAGTATCCAGAAAGAACTTCACCAATTTAGAGAATATCATCATTTTGCCACATATGCCAGTTTCCAGTTTGGAAACATAGGGCTAAAAATATTAAAATGCCAAAGTGCCCAAAACTGTAGTTCCCTAAGCCTCTAAAGCCTAACTATGGGCAGAAATCTGTGCCATAAATAAAGCTAAAATACAAAGGTTTGGACACCGTTTTGCATGTTTCCCTACTGTAGGGGTCTCTGCAAGCATACAGAGGGGGTACTCTGAGAGGGTCCAAGATGACAACTTTGGAATTCTACTAGAAACAGTCGATCATATTTGTTGTCAAAGCTGAATTCAGGGCAAACTACGCTAAATTAGCGTTTTTAGCTAGCAGCTACAATAAGCATAAAAGTTACCTTACGGCTATCATTTGTTAACATGACGCTTGTTCTTATACATGTAATACATTTATTACCAACCTGAGAGTTCATCCGCTGGTCATTCGACATGACGAATGACTTCTGAAGTCTTAATTCAGCTCAAGACGCTGTAGATTCCCGTCAGTAACACTTTCGGTCCGCTAGTAAAACGTAGTTCTATTAATCTGCGCTTGAACCGGAACCGGATGTAAGTTCCAAAAAACTGAATTTTGGAACTGAAATTGAATTGTAGACCTGAAACTGAATGGTGAGAAGTGAAACTGAAATTATTCGAGAGCTGAATTTTTAAAGGATAAAATGCAGTTTCAAAGCAAATCAATTCATTTTCAAAATATAAAATTCAATTTCAATTTAGTGATGATCATTTTCAAACCATAAATTCAATTTCAAATTAGACTAATTCAAATTCAGTTTTCAAAAGCATTTATTCAAGTTACAATTCAGATTCAATCTGAGAAATTCAAATTCAAATTGAACTTATTCAAATTCAGTTTCTGATGGCACAGATTTCTGCCCATACCTAACCTGTCGCTGGGATCAGACAGGTGCTTTTCAATGATATCAGGGTCATTACGGTAATCCAGGTACGGTGTCACAGCATGTCCACAAAGACGAAGGTTGGCTGACAGAAGGATAGCGAGTGAGTGTGATGCAAAAAAACAGACATTTTATTCTTCATAGATGTCTTGAACCAGCCAGTTATGGTAGTTTGATCTAAAACCACCTTTCATGTAAACCAAAGTAGCTCCTTGAAGTTTTCTGAAAGAATGCATCAAACAGCATTAAATCTTAAAATGTTCAAGCTTTTAGCCATGAAAATATTTTTACAGACTGGTTAAACAAAAACAAACGCTTTTGGTCTCTATGGATACTCTTCATGACATTTGTGGATTTTTATAACTCATACATTGGATGTGTTTTTTAGCCATCTCCTGAGCCTAATTTAATTCCCTGAACTCAACTCTCCACTGTGCCTGTGCCTTTGGAGCACTTTTGTTGAAATTTAAGGGCAAGGTTGAAGTTCATATCCTGGTCACACTGCAAACAGGTACTCCTTCTACCATGGGAGAACCCTGATGTTAACATTAGCTGCTAACACGGACATGATGGCAGTGATGAAAGGAATGACTGACCCGGTCAGCTCAATCTTAGCAAACCCAAAAGATGTTAAAATAAAAGTTGAAAGAAATTTGTTTGAGGTTTTACCTTAATTTTCATCAGCAGCTGTATTTCGGTGTTTATGTCCCCTTTTAGTAATGGAAGTTAAAAACACTAATATGGAAAAAGATACAGAAAAATGTGAAATCGTGCCAGGTTGCTTTCAAGACTCACTGGAAAAAGAAATGAAGGAGGAAACAAAGCAATGTGCACACACTCTGACAGAAGAATGAGCAGCAATCCTCTGGTGGGTTTTGGTTCCAGATGTGGTGTGTCTCTCACTTTCGCTCTGTTTCTCATGCATTAATTCCTGTATGTCATTAGTTGCTGATGCTAATGTGTGTTTCTTGCTCTACTGGCAGTGTACATTAGCCAGTCTTACCTGCGGTATGCAGTCTGTGTCGGCAAACATGGACCTAAATTTGTGGTCCATGCTGATGTTATACAGAATGGACATGCTGAGCTGTCTCTGGCCCTCATCAGCTACAACATAAACACAAGAGAAGGAGGTAAGTCAATGGAGGAGGGGGAGGGAAGTTAATGGATGAATGACTGGTTGTGCTGTAATGTTCCACAGGATGCCAATGACCACATCTAGGAGGGCTGTGTGTTTTTCTAAAAATATTAATGGGCTGAAAGGCCTCTTTAATTGAAGGTCAATTGACATTCAGTGCAGAATCAGCAACAGTCAACTGCAATTTCTCAGTTTGTTGCGTCTCTTAAGCAGTTAGTAGACAAAAACATCATGAAGGCAAGATTGTCATGCTCTAAAGGCACAGCTCACCAAACATCACCAAGGCTGTAGCTGTCGCTCAGGAGGTAGAGCAGGTCATCTACTTACTGGAAGTTTGGTGCTCAGAGGCCTGGCTGCTGCAGTCTGCATGCCAAATATCCTTGGGCAAGATTTTAACCCAAAGTTGTTCTCAGATGCATCTATTGGAAGGTGGGAAAAAAAATGGCCCCTTACCTGCGCAGACTCATTCGCAGAGAATTTACATTTTAAAGCGTCAACTTTGCATGCGCCACCATGAGCACAGTTCAAAGAAGTATAACAGGAATGACTGCTCAGCCACTGGTCCCCTGCTGTCCCTGTCCACATCCACAGTGGGGTATAATCTAGGCTTAGGCTGTCGGTGAGCCCAGGAACTTTATGAGTTTGACCTGTGACCACAGCTGGGGGCCTGAAGGAGGAACCAGCTACAGAGAATTAATGAAGCTGAAACCAGAGTTTCACCTTGGGAGTTTTCATTAAGGGAAGTGTTAAGAGAGAGGCTTCTCACTGGAGGACAGCCACTGAGAGACACCCTGTAATGTCCACCAGCCTCCAAAGCCCCACCCTGTTCCAATTAAAACTGATCTCAGCTGTGTTCAGTCACTGGCTGTTTAGGAAGCCTTATCTCAGAAAAATTAGATCCAGATGTACTCAGTGAACCTCTGGAATCACAGAAGGGAGTGAATGCTAAGGAGAGGGAGCTTCTAGCTTTAATTGGGAAAACAGGAGGAAGCATCAATTTTACTGCCTTTAATAAGTTAAAGCCACGCTGCTCGCTGCTTTGGCCCTTCCCGTGTGCCCACCAATTGACCGGAACATGTGCTGCTCATTAGTGAGCCTTTACCTTAACCAGCACCTTGAAGTGCACAACTACCAACTGCACACACAGAGAGGCAATAAGCTTGTCCAGGCCAAGAAAATTCCCTACTTTTCTAGAATGAACATAGAGTCGAGGATTCTTTATGAGCGAAAAGAAAGACCCCATTAAATGTTCAAAACACAAGTAGGGTTAGGGCAGCAGAGAAGGAAAAAAAGGTAAAGGGGAGCTGTTAAGAATTAACTAGACTATGTTCAAGGGCAGTTAGTGGGAGAGCTAAACTTCAATTACACCCCAGGCTAATTTAAAACTGCCTAGCCTTTGTAAAATTACACCCACAAACATTAAGAAATGTCTGTGGGCTGCACCTCTCCATTGTTATTGAATTTTCTGGATAAATAAGCATGAAGGGTTGGGTATTTGAAGACATCACATACCACATAACGAGATGTTATAAAAATGCTTCACAAAGATCCCTGCCCCCACTTAAATCCTCTAATTTGTCTTGTAATTACAATCAACATGCTGCACTGTAGCTTATGATTTGAAGCGCTAGCAGTGGTAGAAATTTATTTATCAGTATTAAATACATTTCAGTAAGTGTGTTCGTGTACTTTTTCCCTCTGCCATTTCTCATTATTACACATACCTTAATTAATGCACAGTGGTTTGATTGCTTCGCATGTGCGGATTGGATTGGTTCTTACCGACATTTGGTGAGAATTTCGTGTCAATAGGGCCTTTAGGAAAATATTTACTTTAAAAATTAGTCACGTGTTCAATACTTATTTTACCTCCTATCATTTTCCAAATGACCTCATAAGATATATTTATAGATTTGACTTTTATTCCAAATCTCAGTATAATTTAAATTTGTGGAAAAGCTGTCTTCAACATATTTTCAATAAATTTTTGGTGAATGCAATTACTCTAACTGTGCTGTTTACAACATGTGAGTAAAGCTTTACAAACATTCTAACCACTTGCACTGTAGATCTTCACATTTTGTGTTGTGTGTTTGTGAAGAGCCCAAATTCTGACAATATCTAGCTCTTTTTCCAGTGGAGTCTGTATGCATTTATGATGAGTTATGTAACTAATTTAGGGGTGGGGGCATGCGTGCACAAGTAATAGTACGTAATAACATGTAGCAGTGAACAATCACGCCTGCTCATAGTACTAATGCACTAATATAACTAATTTACAGTGGAGTCTGTATGGCTTTATGATGAGTCATGTAACTAATTTACTTACTTTCAGTTTCATGTGATAGAGTCATTTTAAATAAGCATTTTAAATAAAGTAGTTGAAAATATAACAATAACATGCTTTGTGACTTCTTGGAAATTAAGGCAATATCTTAAATTCAGTTTTATTTATTTACTATTTATTTATTTATTTATTTGTTTTGGTTTTGTCTTAAATTCAGAGAAAACTTATTTTTTGGTTTATAAATTTGTTTTTGCCACAAGGTCCTGAGGTCCCAAGTCTTTTCTGCACTCCCGACCCCACTGATCCACTTTAATAGATGAAAAATGTAATTTACTGCACATTAAACTGTGAATTATTTTTTTTACCAAATGTTTATGCGTGAGCTGCAAAGCAGAGATGAAGAGAAATGATGTGTTCAAGCTTGATTGTCTGATGAAACAGGAAAGAGGTGATGATGTCAAGTAGAGTCTCCCTCTTCACTTTCATCTTATCAGTCAGGGTCAGGACCTCAGGTCTGGCCTGAACAGAGATCCAAAAGGCATGAAGGGAGAGGAGACCATTGCTGTGTTGTCTGTCCTTAGAGATAATTGCATTTAGTGTGTCAGCTGAAAACTGGACAGTTGGCAGAGGGAGCAGATGATTAATGGTCTCCTGGTTCACACACAGGGCACAGAACACACACACCTAGTGTCAAGACTATAAGCAGGCGTGATTGTTCACTGTTACGTGTTATTACTTGTGCATGCATGCCCCCACCCCTCCACAAAGCTCTACCTAAATCTCCAAAGACATAAATATCCATCTCTCAACCCTGATCGTATAAAACAAAATCATGTGACCAGAATCTGGCATGTTATTCGAACAAATACACTCTATTAATTATGTACTGTTACCTGAGCCTCTCCTGAGAGGTTTCAAAAGCCCCAACAGAGATGACGATGTCACACAACTCTGCAAAGACACATCCTGTGCAGCTTTGCAAAATGGTCCCAAGGGGAACTTCAAGGGATGGGCATAAAAGCTATATACATATGCCTTAATGATTGCAAATTAATAGCAGAGATCAATGTGTCTTTCTGATGTCCCGTGTCTTTCTGTTTTAGAAAACACCTTAAATGCTGGTTCCGACACATGAACCCACAATTAAACAAATCTACAGGAACAAACAAAGGGAAACATAAACACTTAATCTTTACTGGGACTGATTACCAAGCAGAGAGGAAAGTTTGGGAATGAATCCAGCCTGGTTGTGGAGAGAAGTGTCAAAAGACAGGCTGAACAGGAGGCGCAGGGTGGCGTCCAGGAGCTCCTTGTAGTCACTGGGAACGAAACGGGCCAGCTTCTCTACTGGTCACTTTGTATAGCACAGTATAAAGCACCTTGAAATGAGTTGTTGTGAACTGAAGTCAGATTGACACAGATATAGCACAGGGTTCAACTTCATCTACACTCTATGATTGTGACTATCAGCACAGCAGTGCCACTCAGTCTAGTTCTGCGTTCTAAAGTGTCTGTTTCCATCTCCTGTGATTTGCCGAAAGCCAGAAACCAGGGTGATGCAATCTGCTACCAGTTAAAACACACTCATTGCTTCTGTGTGCAAAACTAGCTCCAGTCACTCCATCCCAAACCAGACACTGAGCTGCATTATCAACTGCAGCCTGTATCACCTACCACTGACATTTCCACTGGTGACATAGGCAGAATAAAAATGTATTAGGCAGTACTGAACTCTTATCAGATTCAGTTTGCTGAGTAAATATAACCTGATAGGATCATCACTTTTTGATTCATTAAACACCCATGCCCTTAAATACTTCAATGAGTCAAAGTGTTGAAACCAACATTTCCATGCTGGACACAAGCTTGTGTGTGTATGAAAGTTTTTCTAATGTGAATTAAAGGTGTAATCAATGGTAAACAAGGAGATAAAGCAAGTTTCTGACAGGGCCTGGGCTTGATAAAGACCCACAAACTTGAACTAGACTGGAACCAGATGGGACTGGATTAGGGACAGTTGAAAAGCCAGGGTTCTGTTTGAGCACTATGGCCCACCAAAGTGGACTCTGAATAATGTTTTTAAAATGAAAATCTAATCTAAGCATGGTTTTAACTGGCACTGCAGAAGGTTACAGACATTTGTGAAAATATTATCCTTTACATTTTTGTATACAGTAAAATAAATCCTCAGTCCTTTATGAGTCATTTATATAATGTAACAAAACAATGCATTTAAACAAACCATTGATTAGACGAGGTGAAGATAAAGGTAGAAAATAGAATTTAAAAATCTAGTTTCAAACAGTTAGTCCAAGCTTTTCTAACAATGGTCATTTTGTTAAGATTTTACCTATTTTGGTAAGACTCTGTGCTCCACGGTGTCTGTAGGTTATACAGACTGTATGAAAAAGACAATATTATAATATTAATATTGTTTTACTTAGAAGAATGTGAGCAAGAAGTCTGTATTAATTAGGCTGGTTTAACATTCAACATTTTTGCTGACTTGGGACATTGTCCCACAATCTTCCCTCAAATTATTAAACCCAGAGCAAACTTCAGGTCCTTCCATAATATTTTTGTTGGATTAAGGTCATGACTTTGACTTGGCTACTAGAAAACATCTTTATTCTTCTTTAATCATCCTATAAATACTTGCGTTGTGCTGAAGGTAGCTGTTGTGCTGCATGAGATTCAGTATAGATGCCCTGATATTTTCCTTCTGAATTTTGAAATACTATACAAATATTCCAAATGCAGTTTTACAATGTTTAATAATACCTTCTCTTATAATCTAAGATCTTTTGTTTACCATTGTCAATCTTGCTCCCCAGGAAGATAGAGTGCTTCTTGAGGATGGTGATAACAACCAGCAGTAGCTCATTATCTTCACGGTCCACAATCTTCAAAAGCATGTGAACAGTGTTTTTGTTCCTCATCTTCAGCTCTGTGTGTGTGTCTTCACCCAGGTTGAGCAGCAGAAACAGAGCAACTGCAGGGTCAAAGATTACAGTGCAGGTAACAGTTATTTTAGCTGTGGTTCTTGTACCTTGCTTTTAAAGACTTTTTAGAACTGCTGTTTAGAGATAAATAAACCTTTACTTAATTATAAAAAGACACAAATACAAAAACACACTAAACTAGCAAAAAAATATGACTTATACAAGTGGACCTTAAAAAACAGAATACTGTAAAAAAGTTAAATTCCCACCCGGATCCAGTAAGGGTCCTGCTAGACCCCCATGCTAAAACCAAGCCCTGGAATGGCACAGCTACGTCTGCAGCCTGTCCGCACTCTGTATGATTGTGTATGTGACAAATAAAGGTTGGTTGTTGTTGTTCTTTATTTGCAGCTGAATTTAAAAACGGTAAACTTTAATAAACTATTTTCATTACATGTGAATTGTTTTCAAGACCTTTTTGGTTAAATTTGATGATTAAAGCTTATAGCTCATATAATTCAGAAATCTAATATGAAAAAATAATAGAATATTACATCTCAAGTACGTAAATTAATATTTTAAAAGTATAATATGTGTCTTGGTCTGGTTCAGTACACTCAATCACAAACATGGGCAAAACTGATGACTTAATATTTGTCCAGATGATGATGATGATGATGATGGACAGCCTCCACAAGAAGGGTAATGAAGGTCACATCTGAAAAAACTGAATATCAAAGGATATGAATGGAAAAAAGTGATGGAAATTCTTTTTAGAGAACCGGCTCTTTTGGCTCGGCTCACTAAAAAGAGCCGACTCATTTGGCTCCCAACCAGCTCTTAGGGCGGTTTTGTTGCTTTAATTAATTTATTATCAACAACAATATAAAATTATGCAGAAAAGAAATTACTAATGTAAAAAAAACTGTGGTTTTATTTATATATGTTTATATATAAATATATACGGTGGCCCCTAGAGACAAAGCACGTACAAACTCCAAAACACATTTCTAGCGTTAACTGAACTTCCAAAACAGAGCTACCTAGATCACTTAAATTACACAATTGAAAGCATGTGTGTATTGTTTGTGTATTTATACACAAGCACTCATATATATTCAAATAATTTAAACAAATGTTCATTTACCTGTTACTACCACACACCAAATCCGGTCGTTGGTACTTGCTGGCTTGTGTAGCCACTAGGTAACAAAAGCTCAACACTGTGCCTAGCATCCTGGAGCACTTCTGTTGTGTTTTGTACGTGTTTTGAGTTTTTACATGTTTTGGAGTTTGTACGTGCTTTGTCTCTAGGGGCCTCCGTAAATATACTTTTATTTATTCACTCCACATAAAATGTAATAAATAAATCATATAATACAAAAACCAACTATTCACATTTCAACTTTTAACTATTTAAATTTTCAGCTTTTTCCTTTTAAACAAATTTAAAGTGAAACAACACAAAACACTGCAAACCACAACACAATAAATATAAATTAAAATATGCAAAACAAAGAAGATTCACATTCTCTGTCATATAGGCCTGGGAGGATTTTTTGGGAGAGTGTTTTCCTACTTGGAATTGCATACATAGGATTCACTGCATGAATAAACTTTCTAAATCCTTTATCATCTGTAACTGAAAATAGTTGTGGATGATTACTATACCTTTCTAATGTGATGATGTTGTGTCTTGTTGTTGCCCCCTCCAGCTCTGTTCCTTTGCTACTGCAAGTGTAACTACTGCTCCTCCTCCCTCTGCTCAGTGCAAGCACAAGGCTCACGTGCGGAGTGAAGTGAAAAAAAGTGCGAGAGAGAGGGTGAGAGAAAGAAAAAAAACAAACAAACACGGCTTCTGTCGTTCACTTCAAAGAGCCGGCTCTAAGAGCCGTTTCATTCGCGACCAACAGATCACTAATGGAAAGTTGACAAGAAGGGAAACGTGTGATAGCAAAAGATGTATAAGCAATGGAGATGAAACCAGCATTAAAGAATTATTAAATAAGAACTTGTGACAGCTGCTACAACTCTCACACAATCATAGCTGGAACACAGGTGGTGGTAGTTGATCCACTGTGCTTTCTCAAGTTCTTGATGGGAATACCAGGTAGTATGAGCTTGGTGGCATGATGATAGAGTGGGTAGCACTGTCCCCTCACAGCAAGAAGGTTCCTAGTTCAAAACCTGGCTGGAGGCTTGTGTGTGGAGTCTGTATGTTCTCCATGCGTCTCTCCAAGTACATCAGCTTCTTTCCACAATACGAAAACAGGATGAAGTGCATAGAATAAAACACTGTATGAATGGGTGGTTAAACTGTTGATTGTAGACTTAAGTTGTTTAAGCAGTCAGTAAGACTCACAATGTGCTATATAAATGCCAGTCCATTTTCATTTATAAAAGAACAGCAGAAAGTATTTATCTGTTACCTAGTTGACAGAAAGTGTAAAACCCCAAAATATACATGAGCTGAAGGCTGCTTTCAAAGCAATCTGGGCTTCAATAACAACTCAGCACTGGCACACGTGGAAGTTATGCCACGCTGACAGAGTAATTCCTGGCAAAGGAGCATAAAAGAAGATATTTTTCAGAATTTGGACATTTATATCTTATAAAATCTTTTTTTAAAATTGAGCTCATGAAATATTCAAATAATACTACTTCCGCCGGTGGAAACCCAAACAAAACACGCATTTAGAGGCTCTAATACCTGCGTCTTAATCTCGCTGTCCATGTCACCTCTACTTGCGGCCCACATAATGACATGACTAAATATTTTTAAAAATTATTTTTCCAAAAATTTATTTAATATGAAGGCAATAGGCAGTGTGTTACAGGTATAGCCCTAAAGAATGGGGACTCATGGGCAGTATAGCCCAGTTGTAAGTAAGCTATTAAGACTCGACTGTACACTGTGTTCGTGTTTTTTCTCTGAAACAATAAGTTCCATTGGAGCAGCCTTTCAACGCCTCTCTCTGTCTTTGACGAGCAAAGTTGACCCAGACAACAAAGTAAAGCTAGTTTTCAGCTACGAGCCCAACACGCAACGTATTAGCCAGAGGTCCCTTTGCTACGGTTCGGAGCCGCGGACCTGTACGAGATCGCTGCAAAAAGTGCAGCCTTACCTAACGTCCGCCCTACTGTTACTCATTTTATATTAAGATTTAAAAATCTAGTTGGTATTGGTATGGCGACTATCCTTCAGTAATAGTAATAAATCACACAGCAATAGTACATTCATGTAGTTGGAAAAAGCATGATAATATATTAAGTAATCCAAAGTATTCAGAATACGTTACTCTCATTGAGTAATGTAACAGAATACGTTACAAAATACATTTTAGGGGATTTATTCTGTAATCTGTAGTGGAATACATTTTAAAAGTAACCTTCCCAACACTGGTTACTCTAAGAATACTGCTGATATCTTTCTTTTGTTTTGTAGCAGTCCTCAAGCAGATTAACTGCATATGCTTCTTAAGTGTAACCAGTGATTAGGTTAATTATTGGTTAATCTTGCATTTAATTTCATGCAAAAACAGTGAAGACAAGCAACCCCAGGTATTTTTTTGTCTGATCAGCAGTATAGCACCCAAAGTATCCACCTCACTATCTATGACCAAGAAAAAGAGCACATCTTTCCTTGTGAAAAGCTGAACTTTTCATTTAGTTTCAAAAACATCATATAGAACTATGGATTCATTCATACAAATGATTCATATTAAAAGTAAAATCACAGACAAAAAATTAAGAAAGAAGGCAAAATAGACCCACACAGCAAATCCAGCACGTCCAAATTAACACTGTCGGATTTGATTTCAACACTATTAAAGTGTCTATATGGGTCCACACCAGAGAGTGTTAATTTAACTCTTTTTGGAGAGTTGGTACGTTAACTCTGATTTAGTGTTAAACACCAAATCTGTCTGGAGTTGATAATTTAACACTTGGTGTTAAGAGTTTATATATTAACTCTCAAAGAGTATTTTAGTTTAACTACGTAAGAGTTATCTTCTAATTCATTCTAAAAAGCAGGAATTTTACTGTTCTGAACTTCTAGAAATTTCTTTTGGAAATAAACATTTACTAAAAAGATGCAATGGTTTTGAAAAACATTTATTCTGAACTGTGCACCACAATTTCAAAACATTTTCTGAAAGATGTAACAGTATACATGTTCTCACTTTCATTAGAATTGTGTTTATCAAAAGGTCTGACATGGTAAATGCAAATAACAGCATTCTCATCACTTATTTCTTCAAAACAATATGCATGTCCTTCATTCATTCCTTTGTGGAACTTCAACGCACTTCTGCTCTCCCCCATATTCCATCTTCACAAGCATATCCTGTGCGGAGATCGAATAAAAATTAGTTGACACTAGTTAATGGCACAAATAATCCAGTAAACAATTGCAGCACAGTAAAAAAAAAAAGGAATCATTTTACACCTCAGAGTTACATTAAAAGAATGTGACTCTGCTTAGAGTAAAATTAACTCTACTTTTGCAAGAAGACTATTAACACCAAAACATTTAACACTTTTGAATTTGCTGTGCACAAAGGACATAAAATCCTGTTACTGAAACTAGTTTTACAGCACGGTAAGCATAATTAGGAACAACAAATAAAACCAAAGATCTATTGCATAGAGGAAAATCAAAGTGAAGAACACTCTACCTTGGAGAAACCTGGTTACAGCAGGATGATTATGTTAGTTTAAATCTACACCCAGACTCATACTAATTGCCAGAGTCCTCAAAGCACAGGCCGAGGAGGGAATCTTCCACTCCAGCTTATTAATCAACCAAAGACCGAAACAGAGTATTATTTAATTTGAAAGCCTGACGCTTAGCCTTGTCCACCCTAGCTGAAAACCTCAGAAAACTGTTTTATTTTTTATTTGTTATCCATCATCTACCTGAGCCTTACTCAGAGTTTCTACCCGATTTCTATCGATCTGACTTTTTATCTGACTTTAGTGCTCAACTCAGATAAAAATAATTATTCTGGCCACTTTTTAACTCACAAAAGTGCTGCAGTTATGGCCAAATGATGCAGTTTAAGTTATCATTTAATGTCTGTGAAATTAAATAAACTTAGCTGATTTAATTTTCTGGAGCAACAACGGGTCAAAGAACCAAAACAGCAGGAATCACACCTAATTTATCAACAATTATAGCTGCATACGGAGAACAAGCCACAGGACAGCTGAACTAATCACCCACTAAAATTAAGTCTACATAGACTTCTTGTGTTCTTCCTCTACTTTCTTTAGATTTTTGTCCTCAGAGAGTGCTTCATGTAGCAATAGTCAAGGAACTCAAATAAATACAAACCACAAAAAACACATAATCAAGTGTTTTTGACTCTTTATAAAGGGATATAAGCCTCCTTCTTCTGCAGCTCATCTTGCCAAAGGTCATACTTCTTCAGCTCATATTCAATGAGGTTCACACACAGGGACCCAATCTTGAAATGTGTGATCATTCCATGGAACTGAAGTAAAAGACTGCTATTTATCCAAAAGTGAATTTTCAAAACTATTTTTTTTTCTTTTAATCAAATTTGGGATTCCAGCTGTCATTGAAATTACCCAATCGGTCACCCCTGAAATATTTTACAAAGCAAACTGACAAAGTCAAAACACATCCAGTCAAACAGTATGTCCTTGTCTGACGCATAATCAGCCCAACCTGAGCCATTTCACAAGCCAATTAGTGTAACATGGACAGGGAGACAAGCCAAGAATGACGATCAGTTTTCAGACATACATCTTGAAGCCTAAATTCGCCCTGACAGACGTTTATGTGTTGTTTTAGTGAGGGCTTATTTTATCGTTTCAAAACACACAGCTAAAGAGTAAAACTTTGCTGCCAAAGATGGGTGATTAATGTGAGAGAGACAGAGAGAGAGCAGATAAACATGAACATGACCCTGGAACAGGACAACTGAAATATAATAATATAAATAATCTAACAATATATTAACAAGATGCATATGGCTGGTATGTTCGGATGTCCAGATACCTTTGGCCATGTAGTGGGTATATTGCTAGGGGTATCCATACAAATTGATTTAATAAAAAGGTGTATCTAACTATGGTGTTGAGGTGGGGTCTTGGGTCAGCTCCAAATGGGGGAGGTGGAGCTGGATGGCTCAGGGCCATCAACAGGTGAGGTGACTGGCACATCTCTTGTACATGAGCTAATCCCTCTGTTGCTTCCCATTTCAGCAGCGTGCTGGAGCAGTATGCAGTTAAGGAGCAAACCACATCACTGTTCTCCCTGCCTCTATTGTAGATACACCAAGCTTATTCTAGAGTGGCTTGAATGCCATCTCCGATTCTAAGCCCTGCTATGTTACTACTCTTGAAACAATATACTAGATTTTTTACCTGGAGAAACAGAAGAAGACAGAGATGATGGTTGTTGCCAAGTCCATACTCCACTTCCAGTCTTCTCTTAGGACTCTGGCCAAGGCTCTAAGGACAGTTTCTGGGAACACACGGGTAAACAAGAGTCATTATAGATATGTGTAATGCATATGCAGGAGACAAAATAAAGGAATGAGGAAGGAAAAGAAAGGAAAAGCAGAGTTTTTGAAAGTGCAACTGGAGGTTAATTTAAAAGAGTGTTGGGTAATGTGATCATGCTGACTGCTACTGGGGATTGTGACCTGTGGGTGCTTCACATCCAACATGTGTCTCAGTGTTCATCTCTTCTTTCCACCCTGACCCCAGAGTCTCGGTTCACATGAATACTTGGCTCTTATCAGTACTGGACTGCCTGATGTGGCGTGGCAGATGGAGTGAGCAGACAATGCTTTATGACAGAAACAAATGAAGTTGTGCCATCTCACAAAGGATGGAGGCAATGATGGATACATGCTGTTACAGGGAAAAAAGGGCTTTTGGTCACGAAAGGGAGACGAGCAGGAGCTGAGCTCTGTTTTCTTCCCAAGTCAAAGAGTAGCAGAGTGAAGGAGCTATAACACTGAGATCTTAGTGAGTTCTAGCAATTTTGATCTAAATACAGTCATTAAGTAAAGGTTTGCAGTAATTCATGGTTCGTCTTCTAAAAGTCATGTGAGTTTAATTTCAATTTTGAGCATAAAGACTTTTTATAGATCTGAGTAAGGTCAAGTCAGAGAATGATCCAGGAAGAATATCTTTGAACAAACACTTAATAATCTGATCTCAGTATATGACCACCTCATTCAGACTGCGGCTTTTTAAATTATTATTATTATTTTTTAATTTTATTTATTTGAACAACTCTCCTATCTATGTACAAATACAGTTTCTTCAGAGAAATAGAATACAGTCACAGACTTAAGGCACAAATATAGGATCTATAGTGGGAAAAAAAGAAAAAAACAATATATAAAAAAATATAATAATAATTAGAAAAATAAATAGTAGTGCGTTACACCCAACACTGCACAAAACTATCTGTCTTTCCAAAAAAACACAAAAACTTTTCAGTAGTACTGCATAAAATCCTGTTTACTCTTTCCCTCCCAGGCTTCTAGACTTCTAATTGGCCAACATTTCTACACGGCTTGGATTTGGTTCTTCACAACGTTTGACTGTGTTTTGGCCGTTTACATGTGGACGGAGAGATTTTTCAAAACTGCACGTGTGGACAAGATTAAAAAACAAAAAACAAAAACGGAAAATCTCTGTTTTCAAAAATACCTGTGTATGTGTGGACGTAGCCTATAACGTATCTACCTTCCTTACCCTTTATTTTCTTTGCGAGATTCAAACTTAAGGGAATTAGTTATCAGAATTGCAACCCCTCTTTTCCTAGAATTTGTATGAGAGCTGTAGAAGGTGTTTTTGAACCTAAATTTCCTTAATTTTTCGTGTTCTATTTTTGATAAATGAGTTTCTTGTAAGAAAATTATCTGTGTCTTCTCCTTTTTGAGTTTAGTCATAATCTCGGCTCTTTTAACTGGGTTACCAGTGCCATCAACATTAAGGACATACACTTTATTTCTTCATGTGTAGTATGCATTATCCTTTTGTGATTTACTGGCTGTCTTTTGAGACCCCCACAGGCACCCCATTGAACCCTTGTTTAAATAAAACATTTTCATTAACAAACTGCAACTTAGTTTAACTATGTACAAATAAGAGGACTTCAATAAAGATGTACCAGCCACCTTCCCCACCTGTTGTTCCTCTTTTTGTTTTTGGGGGGTATGTCTCTCGTATTGAAAAGCCCCCCCTCCAGTAATGAGATATGACTCACGAAAGATTGTCACACTCATACTAGTGCTTGTTATTATGTACAGTCCATCCCTAGCCAACTTTGTGTTCCATATAGTCCTACCAGACACACCTTAGATCCATCTTCAATCAATCAATCAATCAATCTTTATTTATAAAGCACTTTTCATACAAAAAAAAAAAGTAGCACAAAGTGCTTTACATAGTTAAAAGCAGCCCACCCCACCCTCCAACTCACTCCCCACACTCTCATTAACATAAATCTTGTTGTCATACGTCTCCATATTTGCCTCTCATTCATTGTTATTCCATATGGAAAAGATATATGTAAATCTTATAAAGTTTCTATCTGTCTTGTGTGAAACTTGTATGAAAAGCATACAAGAGTGAAAACAGATATAAGATCCCTTGAAAAATTATATAAATGAAACGTATGTTTTGGATACTTACTAAAACAATATATGAAAGTAATGAGAAAGTGGCCACTTTCATGAGTAAATCATATAAGCCTTATATGATTAACTATATGAAGTAGGTCACATCTTATGCAAGTCTTTTATAAGTTTTCACTATTTCTTTTCCATATGGGATCCCTATGCTGAAATTCTTGAAGTCTCTCTCGAGCTCACCTGCTAGCCAGGACCGGACCGGTTTCCATGTCGCTGCCCGGTTGACAGACGTCCCTCAGTGCTCTTTTTCTCTCCCGGCTGATATACACTCAACAAAAATATAAACGCAACACCTTTGTTACTGCTCCCATTCCCCATGGGATGGACGTAGAGACCTAAAATTCATTCCAGATACACAATATAACCATCCCTCCCAAACAGTGGTCACAAATCAGTCCAAATGTGTGGTAGTGGGCACATCTGCTATATTGAGATAATCCATCCCACCTCACAGGTGTGCCACATCAGGATGCTGATCTGACATCATGAGTAGTGCACAGGTGTACCTCAGACTGCCCACAACAAAAGGCCACCCTGGAATGTGCAGTTTTTTGCGCTATTGGGGGTCTGGGGACCCAGAACCGGTCAGTATCTGGTGTGACCACCATTTGCCTCATGCAGTGCAACACATCGTCGCATGGAGTCTATCAGATTGTCAATTGTGGCCTGTGGAATGTTGGTCCACTCCACTTCAATGGCTGTGCGAGGTTGTTGGATATTCGTGGGAACTGGTACACGCTGTCGTATACGCCGGTCAAGCACATCCCGAACATGCTCAATGGGTGACATGTCCGGTGAGTATGCTGGCCATGCAAGAACTGGGACATTCTCAGCTGCCATCTGCCCTGAACAATGTGAACCATGATTCATCCGTGAAGCGCACACCTCTCCAACGTGCCAGACGCCATCGAATGTGAGCATTTGCCCACACAAGTCTGTTACGGCGACGAGCTGGAGTCAGGTCAAGACCCCGATGAGGACGACGGGCATGCAGTTGAGCGTCCCTGAGACGGTTTCTGACAGTTTGTGCAGAAATTGTTTGGTTGTGCAAACCAATTGTTCCAGCAGCTGTCTGGGTGGCTGGTCTCAGACGATCTTGGAGGTGAACCTGCTGGATGTGGAGGTCCTGGGCTGGTGTGGTTACACGAGGTCTGCGGTTGTGAGGCCGGTTGGATGTGCTGCCATATTCTCTGAAACGCCTGTGGAGACGGCTTATGGTTGAGAAATGAACATTCAATGCACGGGCGACAGATCTGGTTGACATTCCTGCTGTCAGCATGCCAATTGCACGCTCCCTCATTGCTTGTGGCATCTGTGGCATTTTGCTGTGAGACAAAACTGCACATTCCAGGGTGGCCTTTTGTTGTGGGCAGTCTGAGGTACACCTGTGCACTACTCATGATGTCAGATCAGCATCCTGATGTGGCACACCTGTGAGGTGGGATGGATTATCTCAATATAGCAGATGTGCCCACTACCACACATTTGGACTGATTTGTGACCACTGTTTGGGAGGGATGGTTATATTGTGTATCTGGAATGAATTTTAGGTCTCTACGTCCATCCCATGGGGAATGGGAGCAGTAACAAAGGTGTTGCGTTTATATTTTTGTTGAGAGTAATTAGTGTTTTCCTAAGGTCACTTGATATAATTAAAAGTAATCAGAAGAGCACAAAACAAGTTAAACCATAAACCACGATTATAAAAGAGATACCAGTACATTTTCAACAGAATACCTCACGCTGTGTTCAGTTATTATGAATTTTCAAGTAACAATTTTACCGTGTTTAAGAATGAACACTACATATCACACATGGGCACTGCGTGATAATATAAAACTAGGATTTTGATCCACCATACTCTGATAAAGCTGGTTGAACCAAAAGTTGGAAGTATACCATTAATTAGCATATGACATAAAATAACGTTGCAAAACCAAAAACATAGAACTACTAGAGAAAGTAACCATTCTGTATGAGTTCCCTCAGGTTATCTGGGTTGCGAGCCAGCTGGAGGATGAGAGTTGAGGTCTTTTCCTCAATGTCCTCATAAAGCAGCTCACATATTCATCAATTCTGATGATGCCCGCTTTGTTGTCCAGCTGTAAGAAAATAAACACCAGTCTTCAAAGAGAATACAGTACCATATTGAAGAATAGTATATAAACATATATACTGTTTTACATATGATCCAACACTGCACTCCATTATTAACTAAAACAAGATTTTGATGGAGCCTTAAAATCAGTCCCTACTTCTAATCCAGCATAAGGAGGAAAGTCTCGAAGTGATATCTGTTTTTTCACCTGGGTGTCTGTGAAAAGCAACACCCATAACAAAACTATTACGATAAACTAGTTCCATCATTCATAAAGAATGAGTCTTACAACAAATGCTCGCAGTCATATTAAAGTAGTCCTAGAAAACTCATCTGTACCATTTGATTGCTTGCCGTTTTGCAGGTAGAAGAGCAACTGTTCCACTTCATGGAGTTTAGATGGGTGAATCAGTGGACATTCCTCAACCACCTTCTGAGCAAGAGTGTGTGTCTGTGCTGGCATTCAGGCCTTTTAGGAAAATGCTAAAAGTGGCAAAAATGCAAAGGTAAACATTAAATTACAATGTTTTTTTTAATGTAAGGTACATAACAAAAAATCAGCTCATGTCAATAATTAGTCTCACATTTTCTGACAATCTTTTTGGACGACAACCTTGGGTTCCTCCAGCTCCCCAAGAACAGTTGCCTCCACCTTATACTGAACAACAAGAGCTGTGTCAGTCGGGTGGATATCCAGAGTGCATCCCTTTAAGTTCCTGTGGGTCAAGCAATTGTAAAAGTTGTAATCATCTGCACGGAGCTAACTGCCAGATACTAACAGCTCTCCAGTGAGAATCACCTGTTTTGATTTCTTGGGTACATTTAAAACAATTCAGCTGTTGTTACTAAAAAAAAGATGCTACTGGAAATCTCAGTAAACACATCCACCATCTCATGACTACCTGACAGACTGGCTGTAGTACATGATACTGGGAAGTGATCTGTCTGGTGTTGTGGGGCTGTGGTGTCTCCATTTCTAGTCACCTTGTACAACCTCAGACTTTCAATACAACTCTGGGTCATGCCACATACAGAAATACTGTCATTAGTCTCCAGTAGTTTAATTTACAGAGCATTGTGGAAATTTTTTTGGAGTGGTCTGAAAGGCATCATCTGCTTTTGAATGTGAAGAAGACCAGAGAGATGGTGATCAATTTCAGAAAGGAACAGGACAGCTACACAGCCCTTGTCTACCCTGAGACAGGATGTTGATGAGATGGGCATCCGCATCGACATCAGGCTGAACGGGAAGTCCAACACAGTTCAGTAAACAGGTGCAATTTCCCAAGGAAGCTGAGACCGTTTAAAGTGTGCCGCAATATCATTTTCTAACAGTCAGCTGTGCTAAGTACAGTGTATTTTGCTGTGGTCTGCTGTTTAACGGCTGGTGACACCAACAGTGAAAATACTATACATCTGTGTGGCAGAGAGGCATCTCACATATGTAAGTACTGTAACAAAAAGATTTACCAAATAAAGGATGCATAAAGTATTTAACACCTCATCTCATTTTTTGTGTGATTTGTTTAGCTGGTTAGTGTTTTTTGTCTCACGGCTATGCAATCATATGCCTTTTTGGGAGAAATCAACTGAGCGACGAAATAATGACTGATCTATATTATGAGACGCCTCTGTGGTTAAATCAAATTCAAACTTCCTCTGAGATACTTTCAAAAACGTCTAACTGCTGTTATCATGTAAACTGACAAAGCAAACCAAAATATAAAATAAAATTGAAACATTAAAGCCTTAAACTTAGGAGATGTTCAATGACTCAGCGGGGTATTTTTCCACTCCATTGAAATATTTTCACAGTTTCCAGGCGCTCCCAAAAACAAATGTCTCTGCATTACTTGAAACATTCCCAGTAAGATTTCGTTTAAATCATTGTACGTATTTTTCGGACCATAAGGCACACCAGATTAGAAGGTGCACTGTCAATGAACGGGTAAACATTAACTTTTATCGAGTGGTTAGCGTTTATCCTCCAGATTCACCGTTTATATTATGCTAACATAGCTGTGTTGCTAGCAATCACGTAGCACATCATTATATACCAGCTAGCCCAACATCAGTAATCCCACAAACGTCACTGCTGTTTAGTTTTCTGTCTTCATTTATGTTGGAAGTGATAGCAGAGCTATACGATTGAATTTTTTCAGAAATCCCTGTCAGAACATGGTATATCATGTTTAGGTGGAAAATAGCGAGCTAACTTCCTGCTAACTTCTAATTCCGTTAAATTTAATAAATTCTGTTTTCATGGATGCCTGGATGTTAAACTTAATTGTTACACCTAGTAAAGCAGCAACACTGATCATTTTATTAAAGATGAAAGAATTTAGACAGTCTTAACTGTCAGTGATGCCGCCGTGTTCGTTTGACTTTAGGACCTGAAGCGGAGTTTGGACCCTGATTACTCCGCCGCCAGGCTTAGAACAGTAGCCGTAATGCTCTGACAATCCATCAAGTGGTGTGTTACTTTTACATTTAGTAAATGCTTACTAAAGCATTTTTGACAGATTTTTGACTGCCATGTACCACATAAAATCGATTCGAGGTCAGTAAGCACAACCAGAATTCATACATAAGGCACACTGTAGATTTTTGAGAAAATTAAAGGATTTTAAGTGCGCCTTATAGTGCGGAAAATATGTATATAGGGCTTTGGAATTGACGGCGCAATGTATTGTGGGAGTTCGGTGCCATATTTGAAGGCTACGAATCAAAACAAACTGTTGGAAGGAAGATTGCTACGAACCATGCTTAAAAGCAGCTCAAAAGAAAAAGGATGGTATTGAGACAAATCTCGTCCGGATGTAAAGAGACGGTACTTGCAAAAAATAGCGTGCATTGGAAATGTGGACCTGTATGAAATACGGCAGTGGAGTAGAAACCCAGAAGACCAAACCGCTATTAACTTACCCTGATATATTTTCATATCTCGTCTCTGGAGTCAGCGCATACACGGCGAGCCAATTTCGCAATTATAAATCTCTGGAGGCACACAGCCAATTCACCAATGGTTAAGTACAAGATTTGCCTATTTTTAAGCCTCCACGTTGTGAGTATATCATCATTCAAAAAAAGGTAAGTCAACTTGAGTACTGCGAGTAAAATGCGTTTGATCCCCCGTGAACATTCAGATTGATTAGCGCAAGCATAAATTCAGTCATGAGGGCGAAATTACAGTGAGAACAGAACATGTGGAGACTCTGTTAGATGGATAACATAGTGAGTTCAGTGCATTGATGTGACATTGTCCTGAAGGATTTAGTCATTCTCAATGGTTAAAGAAATTGCAATAATTTATTCATATTTACTATAAATAATCCTAATTATATATCTTGCTTCCGTGTTTGTGTCCTGTGTCACTACAATACATTTAGTTTTATACATTGATAATTGACCTGCATAATCTCCTTATCATATTAGGTGTCCATAACTGTCACTTACAGACAAACTTTATGCTTTCTCCATCTTGAAAGTGATTACATTGATGTATTACATACTTTAGGTTTATTTTTTGCAGGCAGGTTTCTAAAAAAGAACAGGCAGATTTAGAATATAACATGCAGCGTTCTATAGATGGATGCATAAAAAGATGAAAAATTACATGTATGTGCCAACTTTCTAAACACGTTCATTGTTACATTTATGATGAATGGATTAGAAAGTAGATAAAACACATTTGTGTCGGCTTTGGCTCATTAAAGATTTTGTCTTTAAATTAGTTTTGTCTTTGTATGTTTCAGGAAATCATTGTCTCTGAATTTTGTAACCACCGATAAGGGCCAGGGTTCGGTGGGAAACCGACCTCAAAGTTGAGCTTAGTGCAGAAGCATGGTCCAGAACTTTTAGATCTGCCAAGAAATTGTTTTCCTGTAACAGACTCCAGGAAAGCCATTACAGAATCTTATATAGACTGCAGCGTACCCCAGAGTTTTAAAATAAAGTTCATCCTCAGATTTCTCCTCATTGTGTAATGTGCGATATGGATGTGGGGACTTACTACCATTGCATACGGCAATGTCCTTTAATTACTAGATTTTGGAAGAATATTGCTATAGAGCTTCGCTCAATCTTTCACCAGACGATCCCACTGAACCCTGTCCTGTTCGTTTTGGGTCTATCTATAGAAGAGCTTTCTCTGTCTTCTGTACAAATGCTTTTGTTATGTAAACTTTTACATTTAGTGAGGCGATGTGTACTGTTTCAATGGATTCAGAGACAGCACCCCACTGTTACACAATGGTACAGAGAAACGTTCAAGGTGCTGCCAATGGAGCGCCTTAGTGCCATCATAAAGGGCAATTGTGATGCATTCAGTAGGATATGGCAGCCTTTGCTTGATCACCTACCTCGTGACCTTGCTGTGCTATTGCATAAAGGGGGACCACATTTTGTTTTTAAATATAATAATTAATATCTGCATTCCCTCTTTTTTTCTCCCTTTTTTTCTTCTTTCTCTTGACTTTAAATGTGGAACACTGTACATATTTTGACCCAGACATGCACACTTGTAACTCATGTACCTGTATTTGTTTTTTTCTTCCTCTTCTTCTTGTTTGTATTTGGCTGTGCTGATTTGTTGCTGTTTGTATTGTTCCAAAAAAAATCAATGAATCATTGTGTAAAAAAAAGAAAAAAGATTGAGCTCTCTGACATACCTGAAACCTCAGTGAAGCTGCTGAATATCAGCATTTCAGGTTTATTTTAAACGACACTCACTATTGTGTTTATTGTGTGAGTGTAGAAAACTCCTATGCACTTCTTGGTAATTTCACTTTCCAACTCATGGTGAAAAGAGAAATTACATTTTATTAATTCTGTTTATGATTGCTGACTATAAATAATACATTTTATGGTAGGAGTCAGGGACCATATAAAATCTGACCTAGGGCCATGATTGGCCCCCTGGCTGGACTATGGGCACGCCTGCCACAGAATCTCATGTAAAAATCCCCATCTTTACAATATCAGAAGGATGGAGCCACACTTTCAGTTTTGGGGTTTGGAACTGGAAATCCCACAGGACCTAAGCCCTGTTGTTTTCAACCAACTTTGGATGTGTTGGGGACTTGGGGACTTCTAGTCTATATAGGGAGTGCAGAATTATTAGGCAAGTTGTATTTTTGAGGAATAATTTTATTATTGAACAACAACCATGTTCTCAATGAACCCAAAAAACTCATTAATATCAAAGCTGAATGTTTTTGGAAGTAGTTTTTAGTTTGTTTTTAGTTTTAGCTATTTTAGGGGGATATCTGTGTGTGCAGGTGACTATTACTGTGCATAATTATTAGGCAACTTAACAAAAAACAAATATATACCCATTTCAATTATTTATTTTTACCAGTGAAACCAATATAACATCTCCACATTCACAAATATACATTTCTGACATTCAAAAACAAAACAAAAACAAATCAGCGACCAATATAGCCACCTTTCTTTGCAAGGACACTCAAAAGCCTGCCATCCATGGATTCTGTCAGTGTTTTGATCTGTTCACCATCAACATTGCGTGCAGCAGCAACCACAGCCTCCCAGACACTGTTCAGAGAGGTGTACTGTTTTCCCTCCTTGTAAATCTCACATTTGATGATGGACCACAGGTTCTCAATGGGGTTCAGATCAGGTGAACAAGGAGGCCATGTCATTAGTTTTTCTTCTTTTATACCCTTTCTTGCCAGCCACGCTGTGGAGTACTTGGACGCGTGTGATGGAGCATTGTCCTGCATGAAAATCATGTTTTTCTTGAAGGATGCAGACTTCTTCCTGTACCACTGCTTGAAGAAGGTGTCTTCCAGAAACTGGCAGTAGGACTGGGAGTTGAGCTTGACTCCATCCTCAACCCGAAAAGGCCCCACAAGCTCATCTTTGATGATACCAGCCCAAACCAGTACTCCACCTCCACCTTGC